ATATATAATTAATGTACATATTTTGGGATATACAAGATAATTTGGTACATGTATATACTATGTAAAGACTGAGTTTGGATATTTAGGAATCCATCACTGTCAGTATTTACCTTTTCTTTATACTAGGAACATTTGAATTATTCTTTTACGGTTACTTTGAAATGTACAATAGAAGAATGTTAACGATAGTCACCTTGCTGATTTATCAAACGCTAGGTCTTCCTCTTTCTAACTATTTGTGTCTATGAATAAACCCCTCTTCAACCTCCTTCCCCATTACCCTTCCCAGCCTCTGGTGACCACCAGTCTACTCTTTATTTTCATGAAATGAAATCCCCTCTTTTAACTCCCGTATATGAGTGAGAACATGCAATATCTGTGCTTGGCTTATTTCGCTTAACGTAATGACCTCTGTTTCCATCCATGTTGCTGCAGATGACAGGATTTTATTTGTTGTATCTGAATAATATTTCATTGTATATACAGATACCACATTTTCTTTATCCATTCATCCATTAATGGTCACTTAGGTTGATTCTGTATATTGTGAATAGTGCTGCAATAAATCTTGGAGTACAGATAGCTCTCCAACACATTGAGTTATTTTCTGTTTGTCTGTCTATCTGTCTGTCTGCCTATACACCTATACATACACACACAGTAGTGGAATTGCTGGATCATATGGTAGTATCTTCATATTTTAAAGTGAATCTCTGTGGATTGCCTTTTGTTGGGTCTTACTTTAATACACAGTCTGATAATCTGCATTTCAATTGGAGTGTTTGGTGCATTTACATTTGTTGCAGTTACTGATATATTTGGGTTTATGTATACCATATTTGTACTTGTTTTCTATCCTATCTCTTGTCATATTGTTTATCTTTTTCAGTCTTCTTTTTGGATTAAATAAATAGGTATTTCTTTTCTTGCCTATTCTCATGTCTAGGGAATAAGCAAGAATGCTGGTTATTGTGAATGATCAATTGTTGTTAAGTCTGGATTAATGTCTATTTTGGAGGGTTGAATTTTGTTTTAATGGGATGCAAATTTGCTAGCATCTCTACCATATTTTGTTGAGGCTTTGTTTTAGGTTTCCTTAAGGAAGGTTACATAACTTTCAGATACGGTTTTTCCTCCTAAGGTGTGACCTTGCTAGTATATCAGCTGAATGCCCAGGTATAAACTTAACAACGCCCTTCCATTCTAACTGGGCCACAATACTACATCTACCACAGCTATGCAATAGCAGCTCCACTCTGAACCTGGCACTTTGTGCTAGGCAATGCAGAATCCCACCTTGGCCTTAAGGACTTTTGAGGAACACAAACACATACTTAGGAGTCCCTCTCTCCATTATGATCTCCTTTCCAGTAATCTGTCATGCAAAGTTCAACTGTTTCAGTAGCCTCGAACTCTCTGTCTCCTCATTAGCAACTCCGTAAAGCTCTGCTTTAGCTTTGCTTCCCTCTGCTGCCTTTCAGGACCTCTCCCTGGAGAGCTATGGTGAGTATGGGGTCATTTCATGTGTTTCCCCTCTCTCAGGGATGAGAGTTCTCAGCTGCTTATGATCCAAGGCTTGTACACGGTTGATTAGTATTTTTTCACCTGGTTTAATTGTTCACGTCAGGAAGGTAAGTCCCACACTACATTACTGGGTCATGGCTAGAAGTAGAAGCTTGCTTTCCTTTTTTTTGTCTTCATTATGTTTCATTGTAAAATTATTTTTGTTGATTAGCTTTAAAGTATGCTATGCTTCCTAAAGCTGTGGCTTCATATTTCTTATCAAGAAATAGCTGAAAACCTTTTACATACTATTCCCCCAAATATTATATTTTGTAAAGGATGCTTACTGTACAGTTCAAGCAATAAATTTTAGATGTAGACTCCATGAGTTCTAATGTATAATAATGGCAAGATCTCGGCTCACTGCAACCTCTGCCTCCCAGATTTAAGCGATTCTCCTGCCTCAAGCTCCTGAGTAGCTGAGATTACAGGCGCCCACCACCACACTGGGCTAATTTTTGTATTTTTAGTAGAGTTGGGGTTTTGCCATGTTGACCAGGCTGGTCTCGAGCTCCTGACCTCAGATGATCCGCCTGCCTTGGCCTCCCAAAGTTCTGCGACTACAGGTGTGAGCCACCGCACCCAGCCATGTTTGATTATCTTTCAGGCTAAAATTGTGATCACCTTGAGCTTTGATACAAGAAATTGGGTCTTTTTATGACCAAAATCAGACCCATTGTATATAAAATATAAATGTTTGTGCCAAACATTGTTTAACAAACCATTCTGGTACCTCTCTGTGAAAAGGTAGATAAATTCCTCTGTAATTTCTCATGTCAAAGAGCTGTAATTCTCCTAAACAAGTGGTTTGTTTTCATCTTCTAGATATTTTGATGCATGCGGCTAATGATATTTTCTATTTCATATTGTTTGGGAAGCTTTAGAAGCAAAGCTTAGCTTACTTCTATCAAGGGTATTCGACATTAGAGTATCATGTTGTATATTAATTTAATTCCTGCTTGTCTTCTGCTTTTATATTCTTATTTTTCCCTCTTCCCCCAAAATTATATTTTCTGTTGTCAAATCATATTTCCCTACACACTACCCTAAATCCTTTTGCCACCAAGCAAGGTAAAAATATTTTCAGGGTAATATGTTATTGAAATAATCTCACCACTTCAATCTATTTTAAATGCTGCTGGAAGGTTTGTCTTTCAACAATATGAATAATGATGTCGTGCTTCTGCTTAAAATACCTTAGTGGCCTCCTACTGCTTCTAGAGCGAAACACAGACTCCTCAGGAAGCTGCACATGAGTCTTCATGGTACTTTTCTGAGTGCAGAATTGAAAAGTTAATTTAAACACATCAAGTACACATTTTGACTAAACCACTTGGAAAATGAAACAATTTTTTGTGATAATATACTGGTTTACCTTTTCATCAAAATTCTAGAGTGAAGCATTTTCTTTTCTTTTTAGTAGAGAAGGGGTTTCACTATGTTAGCCAGGATGGTCTCGATCTCCTGACCTCATGATCCGCCCATCTCGGCCTCCCAAAGTACTGAGATTACAGGCATGTGCCACCGTGCCCGGCTGCCTGAGTGAAGTATTTTCACAATCACAAGCTTGCAAAAAGTTAGTTTTGTTTCTATTTTGTTTCTGTTTTTCCCACAGTAGTGTATATTGAACTCTAGCAAAAAATGGTAATGTTAGAAAGTTTATGTAATGTAGAAAATGGAAGGAGAACAAAAGGGGGCCTAGCAGGATATTCTATCAACTGTTGAACCTTTGTCTAAATAAACTGTGCAACAAACTGGTATATAGCCCCTGAATGGATAATAAAATTAACTCAGTGCCCAGGAAAACTGTACCCGCAATTCCCATATTTGAAGTGGCTTTAGGATAAATGGAAGTGGTACATTGTTTCAGAAAAATATTGGAAGATTATTTTCAGGATTCAAATAGAATCTCTCCCCACCTATCATCTCCTCTTGACTTTCTTTCTAGATCTAAAAGAGAGAAATTCAATAAATTCTGGTAAGTGCAGAAAATCATGATTTAGGACCAAAAAAACTGCCCTAAAAAGGACTTTCTCACCAATGGCATAAAAAGAAGTTCTGAGTTTTGGAATGAAATGCTACTTCTTTGCTAAAATGCCAGAATAGCAAGTCATTTAATTCTGCGTTACTAACAATATCAGAAAACAGAAGCTATGTCAATGAGCATTTTGCAGAGCATATGTGGGCTAGGAGGGCTATACTTCCTTATAAATCATTTCATAAAGATTCAAATTTGAGAAAACTCAGAAGCACCTACTAAAAGTAAAGTCCTGAAATGAGGACAGAATATTACCAGTTCAGACCGGTATTGACATTTACGTAGGTCGCCATTCGAAGTGATGACATGCATGTACATGTGTCTGATTCCTGGAAAGTTTAAAGTACATCATAGTGTCATGTATATTGTTTTACTTAGTGATCCAGCAAGCATTTCCTCAGCCTATTTATTAGGTATGCCATTAAATCTCCTTTAAAATTATATGCATACATAGTCCCTGCCAAGTTGAATGCCATACACTGGTAAGAGATACTTATGTATTATGCACAGGTATGCATGTTGTCTTATCTATCATATCACAGTGTTCTCTGTATGAAATAGAATGGTTTGTCATATGAAATCTACAATGCAATTGTACACTTTCCAAACAGATTGTCAACGCTTTTAAGATAGGAACCTAGAAGTGTGTTCTGAATCTCTGACTACCTATGTAAAACCTAAATTAAACTACATGGCCGGATAGGACCACAATAATATCGTTAATAAGTCCTTATTACATTTAATTGTGTGGTGATTAATGCCATGACATTTTGCCTTTCACAATTCACATTTTCACCAGTGCTATCTGGCAACTGCCCCTACCATTCCAATAAAAATCACTTCAGTAATAGCTTTCTACTAGTTAATTCCTAATGATATTTTCCATTCTATTCCAGGCCAGATCATACATATTTGAAAACTGTGCAGCATTTGATGCCCTGGTCTAGCCCGGATCATTTTTGCTTGAATTCTTTGATCTCACTTTGTTCCACATGTCTTTTTACCTCTTAAGTCACTTAATCTCTCACTTGAGCTTCCTTTTGCTGTTCCTGGCATTCTGCTCTTTCTGTTTCTTGATGCTCTCTTGAAGAGCTCATTATTCTGTGGTTTCTGTTGTACACCCATGACTGATCATCATTGCTTCTCCACAGATAACTTCTCTGAATGCTGGACCCAGATACCCCCATCTCCTCCACTTTGTCCAACAGAGTTGTCCAATGGATTTGTTACAAACTGACCTCATCACTCACTACTCCCAATCGGCAACCCCCTTCCCATCTCCCACAGAGAGTGTACTGCTCTCCACTTTGTTATCCAAGTGAGAAATCACCCCCTTCTCTGAACGCTGAATGTGTTCTGCTGATCCCATCTCATCACCCCTGTGCTGTGCTTTTCTTACCTCAATATTGCAATTCCTTGAGCTTTCATATTTGCTTAAACATTCTCGAAGTCAGATATCTCATCAACTGACTTGTAAGGAAACCTCGCTTATTTCCAATATGCGCTTCCAAATTCTTGAATCCAGTTTGGCCAGGTAGTGGGCATGTCTGTAAAATGCTCTAGTTTTTACATGTCTGTCTAAGTCAGGGTTTTCTGTTTATATTTTCTGTGGCATGCCATGTTCTCAGTTTACATTCTGTATGTTTTCTGTGCCTTTTAGCAGAGCAGGGTGCACTTTTAGTTTTCAAATAGAAATTAATAAAATGCCATGAAACTTCAGGTATCACATAGACCCAGCACCAAAGGTACAGGAACATTGATTCTCCGTTTGGGCCGTTCGCACATGAGCTACCGTGTATTTCAGAGTTGAATTTCGTCGAAAAGCATGGTTCATCTGTGGTGTGCTTTCCTGTTCATGTAAGAATATGGCAGTAAGATGGAAACGGTTTGCTGAGGTCTAAGGCCTCCTCATGGCCTTTCTTCTATCCTGGGTCAAATATCAGTGTCTGTCTTGATCTCTTTGTGATCTAAATATCCAGATGAAATCATCCACCATTCTATGCCTATGTGGGCACAAAGAAATTATTGTGAACATCTCCTTAAAATAATGAATTCTGTGTCTGTGTATGTTTTAAAAGTCAAATTAAACTTCTTTTCATAAACTTCAGTTGATTCAATGATGAGGACATGGTTCCAAACACGAGTAGAAGACCACTTTTATGGCAGCACTGAGAAAATACTTTCTGAATATTCAGATATAAAGGGGTTAATTATGATAGCTAAGTGGTACAACATAAGCAAACAATCTTCCCAAATTCCATTAAAATGGAAAACTATACATTAGTTATTGTCAATAAGACATCACGGCCACAACATACGATTTATTAGACAGTATTATACTGCCCAAAAGACAAAACAGTAAAATCACACTGAAGACAGTTGACTCAGAATGAGGAATACATTTACCAAAAAGTAATAATTTTAATATATGCAAGAAGTTTGAAAATGATATTTAATTGTCAGTTATAACTGGAAAGATTAAAATGTATTAATTTGATACAGCTTTTAAAAGATGAATTAGCATTTCCCACCTTCACATTTTCTCTGAGCGTGAACATTTAAATAGTATATGGCGGTATGCCAATTCCAAGAAGTTCTTTAAAATATATCTCCAGGAAACTTGTTCAGTGTATTTCTTGAAAACACATTTCCATGATTGGAAAGCCACCTAACTGTGTATCACTACACAGAATTCCCTAACAATTTAATGGGATATTTATTTTTGAAGTGGATTTTTTTTCCAGTATGACTGTGAGATATGCAATATATTAATCCAGCACCAAGTAAAATTCTCTGAAATGATAGGTTGATTATCTAGTGGAATCACGTGTCTCACACATTTGCTAAAACCTAGTTGACATTAGCCAAACAAAAATGTTCCTTCTCTGAAATTTAATGTCAGGATTATTTTATTTTAATTACAATTGACATTCTCCCATAATCCCAGCACTATGGGAAGCTGAGACAGGAAGTTATCTTGCGACCAGTAGTTTGAGACCTGCCTGGGCATCATAGGCGCCTATCTCAACAAAAAAACGAAATAAAGAATTAGCAAGCATGGTGATGTTCACCTGTAGCCCCAGCTACTCAGAAGGCCTGAGCCCAGGATTTTGAGGCTGCGGTGAGCCCTTATCATGTCACTGCAGTCCAGCCTGGGCAACAGAATGAGACTCTGTCTCTTAAAAAATTAGTATTTTTCTAACTGAACTCAATAAGCATTGAAGAACGTAAAAGTATTATTTCTTCATTTAAAATAGACATTCAGAATTTAAACCAGCATATGCCACTCTGGATATTTTGATATTCTCTAACATGTTCTAAATATGTTATGTTCACAGTTATACCAAAGTAACTAATATTGGTAAATTAGTCATATTTGTAATAAGATACTTTTTAAGTCATTATTTTCAGTTTTTTTTTTCTTTTTTTCTTTTTTTTTTGTCTAGAACTAGTCTTAAAAGAGAAAGGATTGAAAGAATGCCACTTAACTGTAGAATGCTTCAGGAAAATAAAATCTCTCTCCAATTAAATCCTTTGAAATAATCTATGCATAGCACTTTCCAAGCCAAGGCATGGGTTGTTTCATTGCATCTTATGCTGTGACAAAGTCCTATAATTAGCACATTGATGTAATTTACCACTGTTTCATTAAAGCTGATTGCCTAACTATTTGGGAAGTTAACATGGCTACTTGAGTACTTGACCTGCCCTTTTTTTTTCTATGCTACAGCTGTTAGTAGGAAGTGAGCAAAGGCATTCATTGCTGACAGTCATAGAAATCATCTTGGTAAAGGTTATCATACAAGACAAAGATGGAGTTTCACTCTGTGCATCCTCAGACCTTTCTATTTTTAATTGGTTTCGTTTTCTGATGAGACCTCAAATGACAGAACAAATATTTGACAGCTAAATTTTTACCAATTTAAAAAGTGAACTCATATTTATTTAACTTACATTGTTAATCATTTATCTTTTGAAAGTCTGATTTTTAAAAGTGTAATGCATTAAAGCAGTGTGTCCTTGAATTTAAGAGAGTCTAGAAGTTGTGCAGAAATGGTGAAATCCATTTAAACGGCTTGAGGTAGGGATAAGAGGTAAATAATAGTTTATTTTAAAAAGTAGATTAAGCACAGTCACGTTGTCAAGAGTAACCCTCTTCTGTGTCTTTGGCCACCAGTGAAGAGCTGTGTACAATTATATATTTTACTCTTTAGCAACCCACCCCCAGCTATGGGACATGACAGATCAGTCAGCAGGGTACTCTCAAGTTAGGGTAGTAGGATGATCAGAGAAAAATTCAGACTTGAATAGGAGCACCAGTACCATAAACCCTTATAAAAGCAGTGCTTCAGATCAAGAGGGAAATATATAGAGGTTCCCTACTACATGCAGTCTTCCGATAGCTTTAATACCGAAGTAGTCGCTAATACCCTTGTCTGAAAAGAGCATTTAGAAAAGAACAACACACACACACACACACACACACACAAAACTTGTTGAAAATTCTGCATAAGCAATTTACATCCTGACAGAAGAAGGATGGGGTTTATTCTCTTTCATAATCCTCTGTTACACGCTTGCAATATGCTGCACATTAAGTAACAGGTTTTTGTTGCTAAAATTAAAGTGGTTTTCTATAGGAGACACCTTAGGTAAAATTGTCAATGGAGACCAAGTTTATTTCCATTATTTTTAATTATTTGCACAGGACATAAATATGAAAATAAACTTCTTGCATTTAGTTGTGGAGACTTTTTAATTTGAATATTTCATCCTTCCTAGAAGTTTCTGGGGTTGATGGGACCTTCATCCTGGGCCCTCTGTCCCTTAAATTATTCTTAGTATGATGCACCTCCCTGTAGCCCTCCCACCATCCCCAAAAAAAGAGTCAGAGGAGAAGTGGAAACCTTAGTAATCTTAGTATTTCCATCTCTATATTCCTAGAAATTTCAATGTTTAGGAATTAAAGGAAAAGACAGGAGGGAATGTGTTTTGGAGCAGGAGACAGGAACGGTAAGAAATGCACAAGATGTCACTAAACAGTCATAGTAAAAATAGTATTAATAATTATTATTAAAGACGTTTAGAAAAAGAAAAATAACACCCCAAACAGTAATCAAACCACAATATCATGTACTATGGTGTATCAATTAAAATGAATGGGAATTACATGCAAATGCCTCAAATAAGATACCTCAAATAAGAAATGTAGAATACCTTTCCACTGATGATTTTTAGTTGTCAGGGCAAGTGAGACCCAAACAGCAGACAGAATGGTCCCAGCATGCTTGTTGCCTTTTTTTGTTTGCACAGTGGCTGTCAGTTCCAGCCTTACAGGTAGTGGAACCCAGCCGGAAGAAGGGGCGGGACCCAGCATTGCAGCCTGAACTGAGAGCAAATTTAAATTACTGAGCCTTTTTTTTCCTTTTTTTATTTTTCTACTCTGCGACAAACTGAAAAGATTCCAGCACGCTAATTTAACCACCCTGCTTCTTCTTTGCCCTTTTTTTTTTTTTTTTGATTTTTTTTTTTCTCCCTGCTTCTAGGATAATTAAAAGAGAAACCTGTAAAAGGCAACATTCCTGTGAGCGAGTTGGTGCTGCAACGTGCTGGTAAGAAAACGAGTTTAATTTTTTTCATCTTTTTTTTTTTTTTTTTGCTTTTTCTTTTTTTAAAGAGCTGAAGGCTTTGTCTGTCTAAGGCAGTCATAAGCGTGGCTTCCCTGCCGTGAGGGGTTAGCATGTAATGAAAAGGTGTAATAGCCTGATGTACGACCTTCGTGTCATACTTCTAATGGTTAATAACAGCATTCCTGTCTACCCCGATGATGCTTCTCTCTGCAAAGGGACTATTTGCCCAGTTGCAACAGGGCTGAGATTGTCGCACTATGACAATGAGTTGTTGATTGTTTGGAGTTGCGGTGTCCTGTCAGAAAGATTTCTTGACTTTCTCCAAGTTACTCCCTTCCAGGGATGTGACAGGTTTTAATAGGTACCTTGCAGACCATAAGGGGTTTGCTGTTTACTCATCAAACAGGAAGTGCAATAATGAAACTTTTTTTTAAGGAACGCTAATTGTCCTAGACTTCCTTAGTTCAGATAATGAAACAGACTAAAATGAGTGCTCAGTAAAGTCATTTGAATCCCTTTCATGTGTAACTAGTCAGGAGTTCATTAGACGGCCAACTAAGAAGAACCTACATCATTTGCAGACCTTGTACTTGCGGTGCCAACTTTATTCTTCAAAAGGACAAATTTTAATTCAACCCAATTAAATTCAACAAGTATTTCTGTGTATACTCTGCCTGGAACTGCTGCTGAGAATGTGCTTGCCTGTTACTCTGTGGTGGGGGAATAACTGAAATTAGATAGTGTAAATTTGCAGCAACCAGATTTTCTTACTACCTTTAGCACTGACCAGATCACTTAAGACATTTCAGAGTGTGTGACTGTTGGCTATAAGATGAAGTTCTCAAGGTTACATATCCTACAATAGACGAACTTCCGTTCCTTCTCTGCTTGTAACTTTTGCTCATATGAAAAATGCAGCTCTGGCTAGTATATTTTATATCACATCTTAATATTATAAAGAAGGAAAAAACACATAGACATCTCTTTTTTCGTACACCAAACATGTCATTTGAAAATAGATCCATGTGTCAAACTTTGAGCTTATCCATATTTTAGCCTCAGAAGGAGGAAGACACATGGAGAGGTTTAGGCTTGTCAATGAGTCTGCTTGGATTTGGGTCAAGAAACTTAGGAACTACAATTTTCTCTGTTTGTTCGGTTGTTTGTTTTCTTTAAAACCACATGTGAAACAGCAAGGAATAGATTTTGCTGTCCCACCATTGTTCTTTGTAAACTGGTGTAGTTTTTATTTTTTTATTTTTTGTCTTTTGATTTTGAATAGATCACTAGAAATGTAATGGGAAAGTGGTCAAAAACAGAATGTAGTTACCGAATGTCCATTAAAACTTTTTCTAAAAAAAAAACAAAATCAAAAACAAAAAAACTCCTATGGATTTTGAAGGTTGTATGCCATTTGCATCTTATAGAGAAAGTGGCATTCCATACGCTGGTAACATTTGGTCTCCGGTCTCTGTAGCTATTCTATCTAATTGTGTCACTCTACATTTAACAGCTCTGAACATGCCATGCCCCTGGGTCCTCACCGGTGCCCCCAGAGCTCTTGAAATGTCTAAAAAGACCTTAGAACATTACAAAGTGTCAATTGTTAGAATAATTTCTGCCTCTTTACAACAAGAGAAAATGCTGTGGATTTAATAGTTCATTTTTAAAGTCTGTTCTCATCCACCAGTAACTGTCTATTAGCAACATTTCCGTTATAATTGGAATAAATTGTTGCCCAGTAACAAGCAACTAACTCCTTAGCGACTTTCCATAGAATCAGTGACTAGAAATAGCTACAAAGAGCTAAATGCAAGTCAAACCACAGCACTTGTGTTTTTCTATTATGGGAAAAAATTATTTCTTTATAATTTTACCATTCTATTAAATTCTCAAATTTCCAAATTGGGGTGCCTCTTCTTTGTAATTTTCTAATTGACCAAAATCCCGTACATGAAAAATAAAGGCCAACAGATCTTTGAAAATTTTTCTTTCTGGCTTAACATAAGAAAGGATAAGCACAACCTCTCAGACTATGAGTGTTAACAAGATTCCGAGCCAGCAACACCATTAAATGTGAAGAACTGCCATCATCTTTTGCAGAGCGCAATGTAAAATTAGGGGTTTCACTGTAGGACTCTGTCATTTGAAATAGTAATCAGTCCATAATACTATATATTGCTAAAGTTAAAATGATGCTTCCCCCATTAATAAAATATTGAATAACACTGAAATTATGTTAGTTAGATTTTACCCTGTTTTTTCAATAGATAGAGTCAGGAATACCCCCAGATCCTTTTACCTAAGTATACATAATATCAGTATGTCTTTTCTTCTTTCCTCACTGAAGTGCTATGACATTACAGTCTCAGGAGAAATTTTCCTTAACAATAGTTCTGCATTTGCCATGAGCTCTTGCGGCATTTGGGAAGGATTTTCACCTTCTACTTGCACAGGTGTTGAAATAGAAAATACCTTATGACGAGAATACACATTGTTATTTTACACACAGACATATGGACAAAAATATATATGACGCCAGAATAAACATTAAAGGCAACATGAAAGTATATGGATTGCTCCCTAAAAATACGACATTTGACATTTGCTCAATTTATTATAAATGTTTACTGAGGATCAACTATGTGACCGGAAGTATGTCAGAATCTGTAGGGAACAAGAAAAACAAAAAAGCCATGTCTTGGTCATCAGGGGAATTACAATGTAGTAAGAAATGCAGCAGGTAGACTAGAAAATGTAATTTGATTGATTAGTCTATGATGACCTTAGCATTGTGTCCGGCTATTGGGATCAAAAAAAGTTGTAACTTTATTTCTGAGTATCTGGAGCTGGCATAATGTTTGCTTCTCTCATTTGCTTCAATTCTTTACCTATAGCCACACATGTTTTCCATTCCCTGTGTTTTTTTTAAAAAAAGAAATCTTATTGATATAAGTAGTCTTAACAGCTGTAATTTTTGTGTGTTTTTACTGTAAAATAAAAATGGGCAGGAAGTGCTGAAGAGGTATCAAGAGGTATCAAGTCCCATTTCTCATCACCCACTGCCTTTGTCACTCGTAATCTACTTAGACCTCTGTCCTCCTCATCTTTACACAGAGGAAATGACCTCATCCAACACTATAATTCTTTTATTCCATCCTAGTAGAAGATGGGTAGCTTTTAAGGAAAAGATATGGTTATGGCGGGCTTGTCCACCTGCGGTTTAAACAAAATACAAGACAATTACCAGCTAACAAGCTCTAAGTCTTAACCTCTGCATTCGTGTTGAATCGATGTTTGGTTATACCTGCCCCATGATTTTATACCTCCGGCTCTCTTCATTATCATGTTAATGCCCCCAAGACTGTAGAGGAAAATTGCAACAGAATAGTACGTGTACGTTGAGAATGCTGTTCTAGCAGCTGTTCAAATGCTTCTTACATGTGATCCAAGAAAAAAAGAATGTCTTTCCCCTTAAACAACATTGCATAATCTGATATTTCTGTGTACCTTTTAAAGTAGCACTTGAGCAATCTGATGAGCTTTCATTGATTTATACACCTGTGAAGTCACAAGAATCAAGCTGCAGAGAATTTCCATTCATACAAAAGTTTCTTGTGTCACTGTGACTCTTGCCTCCACACCTGGCCTTCACACAGGCCTTCAGATGTGCATTCTGTCACTATAGGTTAATTTACATTTTATAAAATGTCATATAAATGGAATTATGCAGTATGGATTTTATGTCTGGCTTTTTCATTTTGCATACTGACTTTCTGATTCATACATGCTGTTGCATACATCAGTAGATTTTTTATTGCTGTGTAGTATTTCACTATATAAATAAGCAAAAGTTTGTTCATCTGTTCACCTGTGGATGAATACTTGGGTACTTTCCATTTGGGAACCATTATAAGTAAAGCTGTATGAACATTCATGTGCAAGCCTTAATGTAGGCATAGGTGTTTCTCTCAGGTAAACAGCTCAAAGTGCTGGATCATATGGTAGAGGTATGTTGTATAAGAAAAAACCCCACAGTTTTCCAAAGTGGCTGTAACATTTGATGCTTTCTCCTGCAATGTTGGAGAATTCCAGTTGCTGGATATCTTCGCCAACATTTTGTGTATTGCCAATCTTTTCAATGTTAGCCATTCCAGTGGGTATGTAGTATTAACTCACTGTGGTTTTAATAAATCTTCCCTGAAATTGAATGATGTGGGGCATCTTTTCATGTACACATTGGCTTATGGTAAAGTATCTGTTCTAATATTTTGTCCAATTTTTATTGGGTTCCATGTGTCATCTTAATATTGAGTTGTAGGAGTTTTATTTTCTCCTGGATAGACACCTCTTTTCAGATATGTGTGTGGAAAACCTTTCCTCCCAGTACGTGACTTTCCTATTATTTTTAATGGTGTCTTTTCAAAGCACAACATTTTTTCATTTGAATTAATTCAAATTACCAATGTACCACATACCAGCATAAAAATTTATTTCATGGTTCATACTTTTTGTGTGGACAAAGTGGAATTGCTAAGAGTTTTCTCCTAAGTGCTTCTCTATAAATTTTATAATTTCTGTGTTCACTCACAGTTCTATGGTGCGTTTTGAGCTAATGTTTATGTTTAGTATGAAATAAAAACCAGGGTTCAATTTTTTTTTGTCATATGGAGAGCCAGTTGCTTCAGCACCATTACTAAAAAGACTATTCTTTACCCTCATTTAATTACCTTAGTTTATTTGCC